CCATGGAACCACTGGGGAACCCCCCATGGAACCACTGGGGAACCACACATGGAACCACTGGGGAACCACACATGGAACTAGGGGTGTAAATCACACCCATCATGGCGATTCGATTCAGTATCGATTTCCTGACCCAACGATTTTCGATACTCAAGAATACACCACGATTCGATTCGATTAATTGGTTCTTCTTTTTTTTTTACCTTACAGGCTAGACTATGTTTCAAATTTGAAATAAATCAATAAAAGCTGTAATATCGTTATGCATTTTATTTGCGAAACAACCGCAAATGACAACCGCAAATGACAGAAGTAGAAAAGTTGCACTCCACCTATTCCACCTATTCCTGTTAAAACCTCAAGTCATAATACCCCTGCGTTATAGATTCTGAAAGGCTTTGCATCAAAATACTTCGGCTCCAGACGTCCCCGCCCCCTCCACAGACGCTCAGCTGCACCTCTACCAAATTGTAGCTGACCGCAGACAGTGCCGCAGACAGGAGGCTGGCTTGTTTTGTTTTTATGACCGAAATTGCGGAAAACAACTCGTGAAGTTTGACCTGATAGAAGAGCGAGGTGCGCAAGAATGCTGGGCCCCTTTTTCCACCTGGATCTCCGCTCTTTTTGGCCCTCATGTCCTTCCATCATCGGACTAAACTCGCCCCCACTTACTCACCAACTCGGCCATATTTAGACCCACAGTGTGTAGCACGACCACGCTTCAATATTGAGCATAAATCAAAAATGTCTGTGTCAAGCTCACGGCAACAAACTGCTGTAAGAGTATAACCAGGAAGCGAGGTAAATGGGCAAAATAGGTTTAGTGCCACCGCAGCATTGGAGGGAGAATTACGTCCAGGGGCAAGTGGATAAAAATAGACCGGAGGGGAAAAAAAATACATGAATCGATACTCTTGCGGACGTATCGATGCATCAGATCGTCGGCTGTTGGATTGATGCATCGATACAAAACGATTATTATTTAAACCCCTATTATTTTCACAGTATCATTCAAAATTAGTCTTTGGAAATCTTTTTCCTTTAGTGACTTTATCATTTGATATCTCAGGTTTGAAAGCTGATGTTCTGAAAACCTGTCGCTCAATCCTACAGCTTTAGTCCCTAATGGACTAGGCTAATTCTGTCATATTTCACTGAGCTTTAGTTGATCTTGAGCGTCAGAACAGCTGAAACAGCTCTTCATAAACTGAGCTATTTGCTCTGAAGTTCTTAAAATATAATATGTTCAGTTGCTGAGTTCAAATGCACAGGAAAAGCTGTATGAACCTTTAGCAGGTCACATGACAGAAAAGACAGTGGAGCAGCCAATCTTTCTATTGACAGGAAGAATCATGCTCCCTAAAAACAGGGTGGCATCTTTTTACAGCCAATAGAGAAATCGCAGTTATGGGATGTCAACTGTGATCATGGCTGCCAATCATTTTAGAAAGCCTTGTTTCTTGGGATTGGATCAGGACATTTCTAATAATAGACATCTTCCTTTGCTAAGAACTCTGAAGAAACAAAGAATAGTTTCCCAGCTAATGGGGGATCAGGACTGTGTAAAGACAAAATGCTCTTTCAGGTTGTTATAAATCTTCTCATTGATGTCACAATCATATTAAATGGTTATTTTCTTCAGTTATGGTGATTTTCATTTAAAACCATTTGGTTTCACTGCATAACAATGGCATTTCCATTTGAGCTGGAAGTAAAAATAAAAACCTCCTGGAGAAGATTTTTAAAAATTTTTTTATATTTTACTCCAACAGTTTTCTGCTCTAATTCGATGGGTTAAAAGCGTTCCATCTGTCACCACTAATTAGGGATGCACCTATCCACTTTTTTCACCTCCGATACGATACTGATATTTGAAGTTTGATTTCGGCCGATATCGTTACCAAAAACAGCACCAAAATATTACCTAAAAAATGGTTTTGTGTGATAAAATATATATGATTTGACTTCCCTTTTCTTTAAAACAAAAATAGGAAGCAACCCCAATATAAATGTTATGACTCGTTTATTTAACAACTGTGCACAAAATTTCACCTCATTCCTTTGCTTCCATCAAAGTTAGCTGCTTCCCGCTGCTTCCTTCTTGTTTACCCAGTCTGGTAATCTCAGCATGTTCCTTGTCATGAAATTTCTGAAGGTGTTTCATTAAAGTGGTGGTATTATAGTTTAAAGATTTAACACTGCCCCTCGTAACATTTCTCCCACAAATATTGCACATAGCCATTGGGTTAGTAGGCTGACAGTGCGTGAAAAAACCTCCACACTGCAGATATTTTCACTCGCTCCATCATAAACAATATGGCCGTGTTGTGTTGTTGCGCTGCCGTATGATGGCAAAGCATAACATAGTTAGGGCCCTATAAAATCCGTTTTATTTTATTTTTTGCCAAATTCCGTTTTTTTCCGTTTTAATTTTTGAAAATTCCTTTTTTTCCGTTTTAATTTTTGAAAATTCCTTTTTTTCCGTTTTATATATGTATTTTTGCACTTCCAATCAATGGAATGTTGACAAAACTTGCAAAACAATAGTTCACCTGACACGTAAAAGTCACAGGGGAACTGCTGGGCTCTGTACTCGGGGCTTAGCGTCGTGTTTCTCAACAAGTCTTTGTTGTAAACTTGTGGTTTATGTGGTAAATTGTTAGAGGAACTATATATTTCTAAGATAATGGAAAAATGCCTACGAACATTGAATTTATTTTCTCATGGCAGTACTTCTGTTCATGTTCCTTCTAAAGGATGCAACACATTTAAACAGGAGGACTTGTTTATATGCCTTCCTTTCCCAGCTCATGTTTTAAGGTTGATGTTTCCAGTAGAGCAGGTTTCTAAACTCATTATTTTGCATGTGATTTTAGAATAATTCTTATCCCATTTCTCCACTGAAGCTGATGTTAAAGCAAACATAAAAACATTTTAGCCACTTAGTTAAAGTTGCTAGTTTCTTCTTTTGTTTATCCATGCACTACATTCCCTTCAACCCTTTCTCCCCTGCTCTAACTCTCTTTAACATACGCCCTGAATCCATGGTATCTCTCTGTTTCATCTAGATTCTATATATAAATCCTTCAACTTGCCTCTAGGCAGCCATTGCTGCAGCTTCTCTGCACAACCTCAATGCTCAGCTGAGCTGTTTGTTTTGCATGTATTATTTATGAGACCATAATAGACACTTGTATGTTTCCTTCTAGGCTACACCCAAAACAGCAGGGATCCTTCCATCCATGTTTTGGTACAGTGATCTGTTTTCAGCTGTTCCTCTCAGCATCTTGTCTCATTTACCTTCCACTTAAACCATTAACCCTCCCACCATGACTAGCCACCTTCAGCTGAACATCCCACAGGATTCATAATTATAAATTCAGCCCCGCTTCTCTGCTCATCTGTCACCTGACTGTTGTCCCACTTTTCTGCTTTAGAGCTCGATTACATTTTGAGGCACAGGCTGAACTTGCGCTGCTCACTTAGAAAAAGCCTTTTGGGCTAAAAACTATCTGTTAAAAATGCTCTTTTCTGAGAGCAAGAATTAAAGGGATCTGTAACCTCGGCAGGTAATGGGCAGAGCTGCAAATATAAATGCATGAATATTATGTTTTTTTATCAACTTACTATTATTAAGCAGGAAAATCCCCTGAGCTCACACCATTACCAATGTACAGCCAAGATAGCAATGTTGGTCATTTACATCTTAAAAATATTCATAAAAATATTCATACCACTTAAATGTTTTTGTACTTTGTGTGTTTCCATAATGAGAAGAACCTCCACACCGCAGATATTTTCGCTCGCTCCATCATAAACAATATGGCCGTGTTGTGTTGTTGCACTGCCGTATGATGGCAGAGCATAACATAGAGTTAAAATGAATAGATCGGCCCCTATATCGAGTATCAAGTCAATTGTCACCGATCTAGCTTTACTTCTTTATATCTGGACCGATACCAATTAATACGCAGAGCTGCAAATATCAAAGCATAAATATCATGTTTTTTATTAACTTACTATAATTAAGCAGGAAAATCCCCTGAACTCACACCATTACCAATGTGCAGCCAAGATAGCAATGTTGGTCATTTACATCTTAAAGCGGCTTCTAAAAATATTCATAAAAATATTCATACCACTTAAATGTTTTTGTACTTTGTCTGTTTCCATAATGAGAAGAACCTCCACACCGCAGATATTTTCGCTTGCTCCATCATAAACAATATGGCCATGTTGTGTTGTTCCACTGCCGTATGATGGATGCAAAATTATGATTTGGTCATATTGTTTAAGAGTTTTAAAATCTGAAGAGTGTCATTTGATACCACTGTTCTCAGTATAAATACTAAAAACCAAGGAACACGCCTGAAGTTGTAGAGCAGTTTAAAGTAGGGTCAGGTCATAGAAATATATCTTTAGCTTAGGTGATGGAAATAAGACATTTTTGATAGCATTTCTGACATTTGTTTATGTTAATTGATTAGGCAGGGGGGAAAAAAAACGATAAACCAGGTTTTGTGTTAAAGAAGCTGTAGATTTTATTTTTAAGCCTCATCTTCCAGCTTGAAATTAGTTTTAATTTTCAGTAGGGGAAAAAAAAAAGTAATGAAGGCCAATTGAATGTGTGTTTAGATTCATCAGGTGTTCTTAAAGGCGGGGAATAAACCTTGTTTAAGTTCCCTAGAAAATTATCTTATAACCGTTATTTATGTTAAAGATAAAAACTTTTTACGCTCTCTAAATATGTTATTTAGGACATTTGCTTTACCAGCAGAGCTTTAGTAGTTCAGAAGCTGGTGGTGAATAATTAATGTGCTCTAAACACACATATTCCCCCTCTGCACTTTGCACCTTCTGGCCATCTGTAGTTTCCTTTAGAGCCATGAAGGAAGAGGGGGGGGTGCATCTCTTGTCACCGTCTGCCCAAAATCCCCCTCACCCCCAAGAGAGGGACCCGAGGAAGGTTTATCCTTCTGCGACAAACAGTCTGTCTGCACAAAGCCAGAGAATCAACAGCTATCCCAGGCTTACAACTGTTCACACCATATTCTGTCTCCACTCCAGTTGGCCGTGCTGGTTACAAAAACTGTCTGCTTTTTTTTTATTTGGCCCTCTTTAGTAAAAGCAAGCACTTTTTTTTTTTTGCCCAAAACATGGGTAAAATAAATGATTTATTCCCATTTAAACCTCTCTGTACTGGTGAACTACGGTGCACTAGAGGCTGTCAGACAAGTTGTGATTGTGGTCAGTGTTTGTGAAATTGAATGAGAGTTTCTAAACTGTGTGCTCAGGTGTGGGACTATGAGACAGGAGACTTCGAACGCACACTGAAAGGCCACACAGATTCAGTGCAGGACATCTCGTTTGACCAGACTGGCAAGCTGCTGGCATCCTGCTCTGCAGATATGACCATCAAACTGTGGGACTTCCAAGGCTTTGAGTGCATCAGGACCATGCATGGTGAGTGGATAAAGGAGTGTTTTCAGGTCTCACTGCACACATCGATATGGTTTCCAGGTCACTGCTGACTTGATGTTGTTTGACTTGTACATACATGGTGTTTAGGTGGAACAAATGCTGTTTGTTGTCACTTCAAATAAAGATGACATTATCGACAGACTCCACCCAAAGCTGTGTTGAGCCTCCAAACCACTGTATTTACCTTTTTATTAGATTGATACCTGCCGTTCTGCTGATCAGCTTTGATTTTCCTCCCTCCATCCATTACCTTCCTATTATCTGAGATTGGGTTGCAGGGGCAAAAGACAACCCTTTCTCTGATGTTCTCCAGCTACTTATCAGGGATGTCAAGGAGATTTCCCAGACTGGACTGACATATGTTGTTCCTCCAGCGAGCTACTGTCTCCTTGTACTGGGAAGGGCTCAGAAAATCCCTCAAAAATGAGGTGCCCTGGAGAATAACCACCAACCTCTGTTGTTTTTTTATTTTTTGGCCTTGCAAAACAAAGTCTAAATAGCTACAAGCTCTTTACATCAAAGGTTTGGGGAAAGCCAACCCCCCAATTCACAGCACTGAGTGCTGCTTCCATCTCCCTACAATGTAGGACACTACCACGTAATACACACTATTGATTGCATCTTTTTGCATGTGTGTACCTACTCAAATGTAAAGTTCCTCTCGAATATTCTCTGAGGTTCCAGTTTAAAGAATTAGCTTTGTAGCTTCATTCCATTTCCAGCTAATCATCAGGTTTTCCAATATTTATAATAACTTCCACGACACAACTGACCATCTAAAGACGGGCATTATACACTGACAGGACACATCTATCTAGTCAGTGAATAATGCCTGTCTTTAAATTTCACAGATATCCATGGTTAAAAGCAGTGCAAACTGCAATTTGGCGAATCTCACACCAACCCACCTTTCCTCAGGATGTCTGTTGGAAAATGCTGCAAGCCAAAGTGAGACAAAATTGTCAGCATGATTATTTTATATAGGAAATATTAGTATGTATCTTTGCTGGTTTGCTTTTTGAAAACACAGGAAATGAGGGATATCTCTGTGCCTTACAGAGACATGTTTTGCAGTCATGCAAATAGCAAATCATCAAAAGGATAACATGGTGGTGAAGTCCTGGTTTAAAAAAAAATACAATAAAAAAGATGCTATAACATACATTTTTTAGTAAAAAAACAACGAATGTGACAAAAAATGTGTTTTTCATAGCTCTAGTGATGCCCTGCTCTCCCTGGCACCCTTGGTGGAAAAACTATGTATTGCCAATACTGTTTTATAAAAATATGTTTACACTTCCACATATGAGGATCCACAATAATGCTGCTACTAAAGCAGTTTAGATTTTTTTTGAAGACTAATCTCCCCTGATCCGACTCCACACACTATGAAATTACTACTTTAAATGGATCCTTGAGCACACTTCAGCTGTTAAACATCCTAATAGCTGCAGCGTAGTTTGCATAGGAATCACTTTGCCCATTAATAAAATGGCCTGTGAAGAACACGTGTGAATATTAATGAATTAAACATTTCCTGATGTTATGGTGGGATTGCAAATCCCATATTTTGCGCAAGCCAGCTGCAGGTTAACATGATAAAGGAAGGTGTGGCCCACTTTACTATGATACCACAACTAATTTACATATATTACATATACATTTTAAGATAAAATACATATACATGTATTTTATCTTAAAATAGTTAAATAGCAATAGTATCTTAGCATTCTGGGTGGATTTATTCCTTAAAAACTACCATTTAAAAAAAAAAAGAAAAAAAAGGCCAACCTTTGAAGTAGATTAGTGCTTATTTGGACAGCAGTGTAATTATCCTCTTCAGCACCACGTTGCAGTTTTTCAGAGCTGCCCCTTTGTTATCTCAGTCTCATGGCATGTGTGAGCACATGGACATACGCACACGTTTGAGCTGGCCTTTGAGGACATACTTACTGTCTTCCTCATCAGTTTAGCAGCTTAAACATGTCCCAGTGTCTAGTTAATTAGGCATCTCTTATTCTCCCAGGACAAAAAAAAAATCCAACCCCGCAAATTGACTGCCTGGCCAATCATTTAATTGGCCAATTACAACCACCCCAATTTCTTTTTCACTATTGAAGATGAAGCTGAAGAAAATATTTTTTAGCTAATGTTTTACATGCTTAAAAGCTTTCGTTTCTTACCAAGAAATTATAATATTTTTTTTTCTTCTTTTTTTATAGGCCATGACCACAATGTTTCATCTGTAGCCATCATGCCCAACGGAGATCACATTGTTTCTGCCTCGAGGGACAAAACCATTAAAATGTGGGAGGTGGCAACTGGGTATGAAAAAAAACATCAATCTTTAATCCACAAACACCTTTACTTTGGTTCCAGGTCGAGTTTTTAGTCTTCAGGATCCATTTTGATGTTCTAATGTGAATAATTTCCTCTCCAATAGCTACTGTGTGAAGACCTTTACGGGCCACAGGGAGTGGGTTCGTATGGTGCGCCCCAACCAGGACGGCACGCTGATCGCCAGCTGCTCCAACGACCAGACCGTCCGTGTGTGGGTCGTGGCCAACAAAGAATGCAAGGCCGAGCTGCGGGAGCACGAACACGTGGTGGAGTGCATCTCATGGGCTCCAGAGAGCGCAAATCCCACCATCCTAGACGCCACAGGCTCCGAGGTTAGAGCAGGTCGCCGTCGTTGAAAATGAACCTGTCCTCAGCTGGACGGGACAGAATGTCTGAGATCTGCTCACATTGCATTTAATGGCGTAAATACTCGTCAGGCGGTGGAAGAGGAGACAAAGAGGCCAGTGTGAGATTCGTTGGCTTTAAATTTGTGCTGCTAGTAACACATTTGCAAAATGCGTTAACCAGATAAGCCAATAATCATTCAGTGATAAATAGGCGGAGATATCAAGCAATCTTTATCCAACCATGTGCTCCAATCATCTCCCAAAGCATAGCTGATAGCTCCTTCAGTTAAAGCACATCTAAGAGGTAAACTCATGATTGAGAGTCGTACAATCACCTTCAATCAGCGTTCTTCCCCTGCAATTCTGCCATGTCATCAGATCTTATATAGCGTCACCACTGATGCTAATAGCATGAAGCAGCAGCTGGAAATGAAGACTAAGGACAAACGGGTTGAGGGAACCACATGGCCTGCAGACAGATCAGACTCCCCATCATGTCTTGTGATCTGCGCTGTGTCCAATTTGTAACCTTGATAGATTTAAATAGGACTTAGCTTGCAGCAGTTGTTCCAGACTAACATGTGCTCTCTTACATTGAAGATGTTTTAAAATGTTTTTTTCTTGTAACACATCAGGGGAAATGGAGCGATAGATCTGATTGTAGATAGACCCAACACTAAAAGCCTTTTTTATGGTGAACAAAGGCGCTTCTAGATTTGGTCTTATTATTGTATTATTCAGCCTGGTGTTTTTTTTCTTTTTTTTAGAAACACTTTTAACTTCAAAGTACCAGCTGCTCTTCTTTTGGGGTCTGTCTGTGTTTCAAAAGATGCAGAAATTGCATTTTCCTCTATGCAACTTGGCTCAATATGACTGGAGAGAGGGCGACAATAAACAGCAAAGTATTAGCCGCAGATTTTCTATTAGCTTTAAGTCTGGGATTAAATTGAACCATTCTTACATCAGGTTCAAAGGAAAACCTACCCCTCAGCATCATGCTACCATCGCCATGCTTCACCATGCTCTTTTCCCTCCACTGTCAGCGTATTTGATGCTGCTCAATAGGTTCAGTTTGTTTTCTTAAACAATGTATTTCTTGGAAAAAGCTTCCTTTCAGTCAGAATAACAAACCAGATGTGATGTTTTTTTGTTTTCTTCTTTCATTTCGGTTTTTCATAGTCCAAGAAGAGTGGGAAGCCCGGGCCATTCCTGCTGTCTGGCTCCAGGGACAAAACCATAAAGATGTGGGATGTAAGCACTGGGATGTGCCTTATGACACTGGTAAGGATCCTCTTTCGTAACTGTATAATGCCCATTGGTAAACAGATTTTCTTCACAAAGTGCATTGTTTTCCATCTGGAGTGACATCAGCATTTTCCGTCTCTCAGGTTGGACATGATAACTGGGTGCGCGGCATCCTCTTCCATCCCGGAGGCAAGTTTATTGTGAGCTGTGCTGATGATAAGACCTTAAGGATCTGGGACTACAAGAACAAGCGCTGCATGAAGACCCTGAGTGCCCACGAACACTTTGTTACCTCTCTGGGTAAGCTGCCCTCTAGTCAGACGAACCTTTAAACCTTTAAATTGTTTGTGTGCATCATGAATGTTGTTACTTTTTGTTTTCCAGATTTCCACAAGGCTGCTCCCTTCGTGGTCACTGGCAGCGTAGATCAAACAGTAAAAGTCTGGGAGTGTCGTTGATTTGGACCTGGGAGGACTGGACCACACCCCTCCCCAATCCCCCTACCCCCAAACCCCCCGCCCGCACATCTTCACCTCCCTCCGGCTGCACTGGTCATCTACACTTAGCGCTCTCTGGTCCGATAACTTTTTGTCCTTCCGTGTAAATTATTCCTGGATGTAGATCGAGCTAATAAATGTTACACAAAAAAAAAGTATTCTTGCATGGTAATCCAAAATTGTATACTGTAAATTTACATAACGTTGTCTAGAAGTACCATAGGTTTTAACACAGGGCTGAGCGTTTGTTCCTGCAGCCCTCCCGACCAGCTGAAGGCAGATGGTGTTTAAAATAAAACAACAATAAAAAGTAGGGCACTAAAAAGCGATAATTTAAGAGATGACAGTGTCTTTGTGTAAGATTTATTTTGTCTATTTTTTTTTCTTCTGTTTTTCATCTCCTTTACAGTTGTAGTCTGTTGGTGCCTAGCTGGCTTTGAGAAATGAGGCAATGAGATGTCTGTGGGGGCGTTGTTGACCTAATCTGTAGCTTTATAGCATCTCTTCTCAAGTGCATACAATTTCTCTTCATGTGGCGCTAGGTCAAATTTTAACAGCTGTGTGTATATATATATATATATTATATATATAAATATACGCGTTTGTTTCATACTGTCCTTGGACCTGGGGGCTCTAACAGCTTTTTACTCTCTTAGGTGGACCACATAAATTGCTGCTGGGATTAATATTAATAATCTGTGGCTTCTTTAGTTGCTGAGCAAAGCTTTTGAGTATTTTGGCTCAGTGCAGCACTTGAGCTCAAAGGTAACACCTTGAGGATGAGGGTTTGCTCGCCTTTGTTGCCTGTTTTGAGCTGAGTTTAATAATTCTCTTCCTTTTTTGTTTTTTAAACCACTCAGCGGAGTCGGTCGGTGCGATGCAGGAAAAGTATGTAAAGGTGCTCAGCTGCCCCATGATGCCACTAGAGGATATAAACGCAAAACCGACACAAATCTAGAGATAAACAAAGACATAAAGACTGATGAATAGCTTAGCCCCCTGTTTCTTATATGAGAGTTTGATATGAAATCTCAAATTCATGGGGAAATTTAGCTTGATCATATGAGTTTGGCAGACATGTTTGCTTTGTTTTCTTTGGCAGAGCAATGAGACGTGAAAGAGCTCTGCAGATAAATCCCCTAAGACCTTTCTTTCCTTAAACCTTCACAGACTGAAAGAGCAACCATTCCTCTTACTGTTGGATAATAAAACAACTCTGAAATCTTCTTCCCCAACTCTGTCCTCTTAAGATGTTTCATGACAATGGAAGATTAAAGACTTTGAAACAAGCATAACTCTAGTTTTTGGTAAACCTGTCCATTCCATCTCTGTTCCTCTCCTAATAATCGAGCCGCCGCTCTGAACTTCCTGCTACTTTTGGCGAGTTTCCCTCTCTGTCTGTGTGCTGGATGTGTTGATCTCTTGCCGAGTCCTCGCTGAAGTGGCCGATGTGAGCCTTATGTGACCTGTCCATGTAGCGCCGCAGCATGCGAAACCTGCATCCGGAGGCAGAGCTGTCTGAACAGATGCTTCACAGACCAAATGATTGATCCATATAGTAACTTGATGAAGTGTGCTGATTTTCCCCTTTTTTTTGGCACATTTTCCAAACCGCTACTTTTTAAAAATGACCAGCTTGTTGGGTTCAGACAGCTCTGTTGTTTGGTTTGTAGAGAGGCTGGTTTGTTGTGTGTGATGCTTTTTCTTTTTTTTTTTACTTTTTTCCCCCCTTGTATGCAGCTGGATTGTGGCAGACTTAGGAGGCAAATGTCTCTTTCAGGGAATTTTACCCTTGATGCTCTCTTGGAAAATCCTAATTATTTGTCCCCCCTCTAAGCCATTTTCTTTTAAATGTTTGTGAAGAATAAAAACAGTTGAGGTCTGTTGTTCCAATTGGCCATTGTGTTAAGTTGTCGACCTAAAGCCAAAAATGTACAATTTTGTTCTGTACTATCTGGTCAACCTGAGAAAAAATTAGCCTCATTCTTGTCCTGGCCCTTTGAAAATAGGACCTCTCCTCAAGATCATGCTATAATATCCCAGACCTTCCCTTAAAAGCTGGAAAATGTGTCTCCCTTCCTTGTTTTTTATTCAAGGAAGTTGGTCTTTAGAGGTCTGGATGATGTTTGCTTCTATCAGTAGGAAAAGAACTTCGAAAACAGCTGCTGCTTTTTTTAGCGTAAACGTAAAAGAAAATCTAGTTTTGCCATCTGCAGGTCCCAAGCAATCCCTGTGCTGCATTTGCTGGTGAGAAGGGACCCATGATGAGGATTTAAAATCCTGTGCGTCTTTTCCACCAGCATCCAGTCTCTTTGTCCTCTGTGAGCTGCCTGCCGAAACACATCTGAGGGCTTCAGACTGCACAATAAGCTCCTTAGAGGAGAGCTCTTGTTTTTTTTTTTTGCCACTATGGTCTCACTCTTCACACAGCAAACTGTTAACAATATACCTGGATGTCATTGTTTGCAATATAATAAAAATGGAAAACTTCCCCTCGTGTCCTGCTTTTTTTTTTTTTTTTGGGGGGGGTGGGGGTTGATAATTGAGGTGTGTTCAAGGTAAAAATGAGTTAATGAAAAGACATGAAGATCTGATCATGTGGAGCTCTTTAATCATTGTTTTTAGAAAAGGAATTTAACTGGACTTTCTAAATAGTGAAGTTGGTTCCTATTCTTGTATCCCTGGAATAAATGTTAAGAAATTCTCAGAGAAAACGAATGTAATCTTTTATTCAATGACCCTTTGAATAAATAAAAATCTGTAGCTCTAATTGTAAGAAAAGGTTTCAAAGGAGGAAAACGTGTGATGGTAGATTCACCAGCTTTGCAGCTTTAAGACCTGCCTTCCCTGGAGGCAAACTAAAGATTTTATTGAGTAAATTTGATCATCAATTAAAAGCAAGAATGAAGTGTAGATCATGAATTAAAATGACTCAAAGCTATTAGCTGAATGCTAATGATATGAAAACAAAAGTAGGTTAAATTAAGTTCAATAATGGCCTAGAAAGTCTTGAATTTAAACTGTGTGAGATGTTGAAAACCCATAAGAATGATTATAGACGCCAAACAGTTGAAGAATGCTGCTCTAAGTTACCTCTGATCTTTATTACAGGAGAAAAGATACATTTAAGAGCTCATTTTATTCTTACCTGCACAATGGATGCTAATAAAATGTTAAGATGTGTGAAAATGGGGAGATAAACTGTTGACTTATGATTTGGAGTATCCGAAATATCAAAATAAATATTACAATTTCATAAAAAGTTATAAAGGAGTGTTTGTCTTTTACAGAAATTTGTTATGAGATCTTATACATTATAACCTTTTTTAATTTAGGGTTGGTCAAATGAAGATAATGCAAATTTAACGAAAAGAAGTCAAAGAATATATAAATCTAACATTAATACAGAGCCTTGCAATATATTTACACTCTTTTGAATCTTCCACATATTGCAGCGGAAACCTTAATCTGTTTAGGACCAACACAAAATTATGGGAATTATTTGGAAAGAATGCCATGTATTTGTACGGAAGAGGATTAGGGCCACTGAAAAAACAAAAAAAGTTAACTGATTTTTTTTTATTTTATTTCAGTATGATAGAAGAAAAAAGTCAAAATTCTGACATTAAAGTCAGACTTCTGAGAAAAAATTCAGAATTCTGACTTTAATCGCATAATTCTTACTTTAATCTCAGAATGTGGAGATTAAAGCCAGAATTCTGAGAAAAAAGTCAGAATTCTGACT